TCACCCACGCAGACGGACCCACCGAGATCTACAAGCTGACCCGCAAGGAGGCCCAGGAGTAGGCAGCGCTGGCCCCGGGGTCTCCCAGCCTCGGCGCTCCTGGACCTGGCGGGCGGCCTCCGGAGTAGCCTTTGGAGGCTGAAAGTGATGACGAGGCCGTGGTGAGGAGGTCTGGGCCGGGTTAACTAGGACGCGGGACGGCACCAGCAGGCGGTCGGCGAGACTCGAGTGTCCTCTGGAAATGCCTGGCCGCGTGGGGTGTAGACGAGGGGACTGCGGCTCGCTCTTCTGGTCTTAGGTTCTGGGGTAGATTTCTAACACTCACAGTCCGGTGTGCTGGTGCCTTCACACCTCACCCGTGACCACTTCTTTCTATTTATATCACCAAGTAACCGACTGAGTTAATATTTAAGTTGTCAGTAGAGCTCTGTCCCTGTTTTTATGGCTTACTACAAAATAATTGAATTTCGTGAGGTCTGTTCGACCAGAGGCATTTCAGCTTTGAAACCAAATCTGTGTATCTGCTACTAACCAGGCTGTCTGTCGGTGTGGGTTTAAGAAAAAATGTTTGTTTAATCACCCCAGTAGGATTTGTGGTATTAAATGGCCTTTGGGTCTGAAAAGCTTTTTTAACCTCTCGCTTAAAATGTGTGTTCTTTTGATAAGATGCGTCAAACACTCCCCGAGAGTAGAGAGGCAGTCATTTAAATAAGCCTGCTGCAGGGCTAGGGGAGGCGCTGTGAGAAACTCAGACTCTGCCTTCACATGAGAAGGCGGGGGACAGCAGCACTTCCGGCTGAGGAAGCTGCGTTTCCGCCCTGTGGTGAGCTTTGTGTTTAGCCGCGTGCGGTGTAGACACAGACACAGACGGCGCCCACAGACTCCCCTTCCCGCCTGCCATGGCCCTGGCGGTTGGGTTTTACGCCCTGTTGGAGGCCAGGCAGCCCTGACTTGAAAGGCGTTGCTGTCCACTAGCGGTGGCCTCAGGCAGACCCGCTGGTCCCTGCCTGTGTCACTGGTCGTGGTGGATACCGAGTCCCCTCACTGAGCCCTGCTTTGTGACCATAAATCTGGCCGTGTGGGCTCATCCTCCTGTCTGCCTTGGCTCACAGCTGGGGCTCTGGGGCAGCTGGTGGGGTTCACCCACCCACTGCTTCTGTCCCCTGGGCGGTCAGGGCTGACAGCAGACTCCGGGCTGTGGTGTCCTCCGCCCGCATACCCTGCCTGGGCTACAAGCACCACCACAACCCACGCTCTCCATGCCACCTGCCAGCTGGCAGAGTGTGCCAGGTGTCCTCGGGGACAGGGGCGGGAGCCACACATGCAGCCAGGCAGGGAGGGTCTGTGCTTCCATCAGGTGAGGGCCTGAAAGAGTTTCAAAGAAAAAGCGAGACCTTCCGGGGGCCAAAGGCCAGCAGGCCCAGCAAGAGAAACATAAGAGGCGGAAGGAAGAGAAATTCAGCCGGGGCTGGGCCTAGGCCCAGGGCACAAGGACGGCTCTAGGTCCTGCCAGCCGGAAGGAGCAGGGCTTTCATTCCGTGTCACTGACTTCTTGTCAGGGTGTTGGTGATACAGGAAGTCATCTCCATCGTGGGGAGTAGAGCCACGCTCCTGTCACACGTGGTCCCCTCCCATCGCCACAGTATGCTTCCGTTTCCTGCCATGTCTCCTTTATTCTGCTCTTGAAATCACTTATACTTTAGGTTTATTGGAGCTTGATTTATTTCACTTAAATTTGCAGCCTCCATGCACCCATTTCCTACAGATGACTCAAGTTCATCCTTCTTTATGGCAGAGTAGTGCTCCGTGGTGTGCAAACATGACATTTTCTTTATCTACTCATCTATCGATGGACACACAAGCTGCTTCTCAGATTTAGCTGTTGTGAACTGTCCTGCTATAAACATGGCTGTGCATGGCTCTCTCTGTGTATATACATAAATATATATATATGGTTTTGTTTTTTTTTTTTGAGACAGGGTCTCATGGTGTAGCTCACACTGGCCTTGAACTCACTATGGAGCCTAGGCTAGCTTCAAATTCACAGCAGCTCTCCTGCTTCAGCCTCCCAAGTACTAGGTTTACAGGTGTGCACCATCACACCTGGCCAGGATCCCTGTGATACAATGTCTTTAACTCTTTCAGGAAGCTGCCTACAAGGGTCCAAGTGGAATTGCTATTTTTACTTTTGGGAGAATAGGAGCTGGGCTTTAAATCTTTTGCTGAGAGCATTGAGACTGCCTCAGGCTGTAGGCAAAGAAGTTACCTGGTCTGAGTTACCCCTGGGCATGGCGTGGCTGGCCAGGCCAGCACGGGCCACCAAGACTGAGACCACGTGCAGAAGGAAGGATGACCACGGGGATAAAAAGGAGTAGGACCCTAGTTGTCGAGTGTCACAGAAATCACAGAAGCTGGATATGTCACCAGTCTCAGGGCCTTGCTGATGGTGGACACCAGAGTCCCTGACAGGTCCAGTTTCCAGGAGGAGGAGGAGGGCCGGTTCTTGTCTCTCTGTGCCAAGTCTTTTTCTCTCACTTCAGAGCCAGGAGCGTGTGCAGGGTGCACTGTGCCATTCAGCTCGGGAAGGGAGTTAGGTTGCGTGGTCATGGGACTCACTGGTGGGTGGGCAGAGTCCACCATGAGCTGGTTAAACAGAAAAGTCCTAGCACCGTGATGGGTTTGGACCTTTCTGAGCTCAGTTCTAGAAGCCATCTCTGGAGGACATGAGAAGCCACCTGGTCAGAGAGGGAGATGTGCAGCCCTTAGCACTGCAGACAAGGACCCTGAGGCGGCAGCAGAGCACATAAGGAATCAAAGCCAGTGTGGTGAGCCAGCCCCTAGCCACACTCCACAGCCAAGGAAGCAAATGAGGATTCAGTCAGAGAAATATGGGTGTCAAGGAAGCTCAAGAACTCGATTTATAAAAGCAAAACAATGCTAGGTGCCCCAGGGGCTCCGCAGCACTGAGGAGTGCGTTCAGCTTGTGGGCAGGTGCATGGGATGCCGAGGCCTTCTCAAGGGTGAGGCCCAAGGTCAGACAGAGGCCCAGCAGTCCGGGATGGTCCTGCTGGGAAAGAGAAGTAGGGAGCTTGCTCTGAGGAAGCCAGCATGAAGTAAGGATTGTTTCTCAGTCTGGGCAGGATCCAGGCTGTGTTTGCCAACCCGAGGGCTGAGATCAACCCATCCACAAAGAGCAGATGAAGACGGACGATGTGAGCCACAGGAAAGCCACAGACCCCAGTGGATGAGTCAGCTTTGAGGGAGGGAAAGAACACTTTCATCCTGGGAAGGAAAATAACAGATAGATCGTGGAGGAGAAAACTGAGGTGGAAAAGAGAGGTTGCAACCCAGTCACGAGTGCCCTGGCTTCTCCACAAACAGGAAATGAGTGCCGGGGTCCAGACACCCCCAGCCCAACGAGGCAGGTGGAGCACAGCCAGTTTCCATGAGTGGAGAGCGAGGGCAGACTGCCAAGGGGAAGGTAAAGCTTGCACTAAGATCTGGCAAGTGGGAAAAAATGACCAGGCACGTCCACCAGTCCTAAATACACACCAGCATAGAAAGGTGATTATTTCAGCTTAGATGTGGCAGTTTCCCCCAACATCTCCTGTACTCAGAGTGGGGCTTCCGGAAGCTGACTGGATCTCTGGAGCTCACAGTGGATTTGCCTGTGGACGACTTGCTGGCTGGAGAAGGCAGGAGGCGCACAGGATGTTCCCTTCGGAGGGTCCATAGCTCACCCTGGTCCTCCTCCCACTCTTGGCTTCCTGGTCGCCACGGAATGAGCAGCTCCCCTCCAAGGCCCTCCCGCCAGTCTCTTCTGCCTTGGAGCCATGGACCATGGACTGAACCTCCTAACACAGGAGCCAAATTAAACTCTCCTTTATGTTGTGGGTGTCAGGCATTTCGTCCCAGCAGCAAGAAAGTGACTAATACCTTTAAAAGGATATTTATTATAGAGAAGTATACACTTTTTGAATTATTTCTTTTGTGAGATCAAAGAAAACTCACCAATATATTCAAAAAATCCGAAACATCTGAGCCTATTTCAAGTAGAACACGGAATCAGTCTTCTGCTGGTCATCCCATGGGACCTCCACGGGGCCCTAGTCCTACCTTTTCCCCAGGGGAAGACAACAGCCATGGTAATGAAATCAGAGGCTCCACACGCGGCCCCTCTTACTACTTCTCTCACCGCTGGGACGGAAAGCCTGACACCCACGATCTAGGGAAAGAGAGGTTTATTCTGGCTCACATTTGAGCGCACTGTCAGCGGGCGCCAAGGCGGGAAGGCACAGGGCGTGCGGGGGGAGCTGCTCCCAGCATGGCAGACAGGAAGCCGAGAGCAGCAAGGTGGAGGGAGAGAGCAGGACCAGGACGGCAGCACCGCGCTGCAGACTGGACGGAGCGTGGAGCCTCCCGCCACCTGCCTCGCTTCCTCAGAGCCTCTGTCTCCAGCCTCAGCATCTCGGCTCCCATCTGCCCCTCCAGACACAGCTTCCAGAGAGTTCTCCGGCTCCCGCTCCCCTGCTAACTGCTTTCTCGTTACCGACGGTATTCGGGGGCAAAACCGCTCCGGTGGGCCCAGGGTCAGGTCGGATGCTGCTTCCTGTGATGGGGCCTTCCAACTCGCCGCGCCTTGCTCTCCTGCGTATCCTGCTCATGTTGTGACCCCTGACGCAGAGACTTAAACGAGGACGTTATCAGTGCTTTCCTCCCGGTCGATGGCATTTCGGAGCTGAGACGTAGGACTCTACAGCCTCACCGGTACATTTTACTTCACCGACACACAAATGCAATATGTGAGGTGTGTCTTCAGCTTTAAAAATACGTATGGGTGTTAGTGAAATAGTTAAATTCTTGGGCCAGGGATTTAGCTCCGTGGTTCCGCCACCTGCCTCCCAAGCTCAAGGCCCTGAGTTTGATCCCTGGTTTCCCATTAAAAAAAAAAAAACAGACACAGCCTGGAGAATTTAGAACCGAAAACCCTCCCCAGCCTGGACTCTTCTGGGTCCTGCTCTGTCCTCCACAACACACATAGCACACAAAATCAGGGGAGTGTGTGTGTGTGTGTGTGTGTGTGTGTGTGTGTGAGTGTGTTTAACTTTATAACACACACATTTCCCCTTATTATCACTCACAAAGCCAAAACACAAGCCACACCGCCCAGAGAATGCAGTGACTTGAGATGCGATTAAAAGAGCCCCAGAGCACTGCTTTTGTAGGACATTTGCATTGCAGGAGCATTTCTGCAGGGCCAGGGAGATTCTTGTTTTCTTTTTCCGCTGCAGCTCTGAGACTCCAATGACCTGCCTGGGAGCTACACTTCCAGCCTGCTCCATCGTGGTGAGTGTCTGCCCTCTCGTGGCCAAAGGGAGAATGACAGCTATCTCGGAGCAAAGTGGACAGAGGTCCACTCTGTGGGCGCTGTTGGTCAGAGACAAGTTCTGTCTCCCTGGGGCGCCAGTCCTCACAACGCCCCTCGTGGGGCCAGTCAGTTGGGTTGGGGGTGTCTCCCCCAGGGATCCAGGACCCCTCTTCACTGTGGGGGCCTCAGGGACCAAGGCCAGGGCTTCCTGCGAGGCATGGAGCCCTTCAAACTGGGAAGGCGCACC